CTCTGCCCAGGATTGATGATTTATTTGACCAATTTCGAGGGCTTCTATCTTTTCAAAAATAGACTTGAGGTCTGGTTATTATCAACTCAAAGTGAAAGATTCGGATATTCCGAAGACTGCTTTTCGTACTCTGTATGGGCACTATGAGTTTTTAGTGATGTCATTCGGGTTAAAAAATACCCCTGCTGCTTTTATGGATTTGATGCATTGGGTGTTTCGACCTTATTTGGATCAGTTTGTAGTTGTGTTCATTGATGACATACTGGTGTATTCTAGAAGTGAAGAAGAACATGAGAAGCATTTAAAGATTGTTCTACAGATTCTCAGGGAGAATATGCTTTATGCTAAGTTGAGAAAGTGTGAGTTTTGGCTCAGCGAAGTGACTTTTCTTGGACATATCGTTTCTGCTGATGGCATTCAGGTGGATCCGAGCAAAGTGGAGGCTATTCTGAACTAGAAGCAACCCAGGAATGTCTCGGAGATCCGTAGTTTCTTGGTCTTAGCTGGTTACTACCGTCGTTTCGTTGAGGGGTTCTCCCTTATTGTAACTCCTCTAACGAAACTATTGAGGAAGGATGTTCCATTTGTCTGGTATGAGGACCAACAAGCTAGCTTTGAGAAACTGAAGACTGTTCTAACTCAAGCCCCAGGGTTGATTCAGCCTGAATATGGGAAAGATGGGAAGGTCGTCGCTTATGCTTCGCGTCAGTTAAAGCCTCATGAGCGTAACTATCATATTCACGATCAGGAGTTAGCTGCCGTGGTTTTTGCTTTAAAGATCTGGAGACACTACCTATACGGAGAAAAGTGTTATATTTATACTGATCATAAGAGTCTGAAGTATCTGTTTACTCAGAAAGAATTAAATTTAAGACAGCGTCGCTGGTTGGAGCTTCTAAAGGACTATGATTTAGAGATAGAATATCATCCAGGGAAGGCTAATTTAGTGGCAGACGCCTTAAGCCGTAAGGCGATATCAGATCTCAGAGCCTTATTCGCCGACTTGAGTTTATTTGATGATAATAGTCTGTTAGCAGAGTTGCAGGTTAAGCCTACTTTGGCCGAGGAGATTAAGACCAAACAACTTCTGGATAGCTCATTGCTTTCCATTATTGAGCAAGTTAAACAAGGATCAAGTTCAGAGTATATTGTGGATCAGGATAGTATTTTGTGTTTTCACGGTCGTTTCCTAAAGATGATGAATTGAGATGAGTTATTCTTCAGGAGGCTCATAGTATTCCTTATGCTATGCATCATGGCGGGGACAAAATGTACAATAATCTCAAAGAGCGCTACTTCTGGACTGGTATGAAAAAGAATATTTCAGATTTTGTGGCGAGGTGTTTGACTTGTCAGCAAGTTAAGGCAGAACACCAGCATCCATCTGGATTGTTACAGTCAATTAAGATTCCTGAGTGGAAATGAGAGCGCATTACAATGGACTTCGTTATTGGTCTTCCTCTGACTCCTTCTAAAAAGGATTCTATTTGGGTGATTATTGATCGACTCACCAAGTCAGCGCACTTTATTCCTATCCGGATTAATTATTCTCTGGAAAAACTGGCTAAGTTGTACATTTATGAGATCGTTAGACTTCATGGTGTTCCGTTGTCTATCATATCTGATCGAGATCTGAGGTTCACTTCCAGGTTCTAGAAGGCTTTGCACGAGGCTTTGGGTACTCGTTTGAATTTTAGTACATCTTTTCATCCTCAGACTGATGGACAGTCTGAGCGAGTAATTCAGGTGTTCGAGGATATGTTACGGGGTTGTGTGATTGATTTTCATGGTAGTTGGGAAGATTTCTTGCCATTAGCTGAGTTTGCTTACAATAATAGTTACCAGGCAAGTATTCGCATGGCACCGTACGAGGCTCTGTATGGACGTAGATGTCGTACTCCTATATGTTGGACAGAGTTGCATGATAGAAAAACTTTGGGTCCAGACTTGGTTAAGGAGACTGAAGATACTGTCAGATTGATCCGTGATCGCTTAAAAGAGGCATTCGATAGGCATAAATCATACGTAGATAAGCGACGTAAGGATATCGAGTTTGAGGTTGGAGATCAGGTTTTTCTCAAGGTATCCCCATGGAAGAAGATATTGAGATTTGGACGTAAGGGTAAACTGAGTCTGCGATTTATTGGGCTGTATCGTATTTTGAAGAAAGTTGGACCTGTTGCTTATCAGCTTGAGTTGCCTCCTCAGCTCAGTCGTATTCATGATGTTTTTCATGTGTCTATATTGAGGCGATACCATCCAGATCCGGATCACATCATTCAGGTTGATGAGGTAGAGCTGAGACCTGATTTGTCATATGAGGAAGAGCCTATTCAGGTTTTAGAGAGGGATGAGCGAGTTCTTCGGAATATGCGTATTCCAATGGTCAAAGTTCAGTGGAGTAATCGTAGCCCCTTAGAAGCTACTTGGGAGACTTTGGAGTCAATGGATACTCAATTTCCTCATCTAATTTCATAAGGTAAATTTCGAGGACGAAATTTCTTGTAGAGGGGGAGAATTGTAACAACCCGGAAATTTCAAAATAATATTTAATTGAAATTTGAGGTTTTAATTGTGAAAATTTGTAAATTTTGGGGACTAAATTAGAAGTTTTTAAAATTTGTAGCTTGTTTTAGAGTTAAAAAAAATTTAGGGACTAAACCCTGAATTTACCCAAGAAAGGTTGGTAAGTTTGGTTGATATAAACGTGTAATTGGTTTCTGATAATCAGAAACCAATTGCTCCCTAAGTTCCCTTCCCTAACCTCAACTTCCGACAACGATCCCGACGCTGTCCGAATTCCGATCGTCATTTTGAAACCACCATCGTGTTCGTTATCGAGTGAGGAACAATTCCCTTAAATTAATTGAGGTGAAACGCTGCCAAATGCTGTGAATTTCAAGTCAAAGCCTCGACTTTTTTTAGCACAACCGCCTAGAAAATCCTAAATTCATCGCAGATCGTCGCTCCATTTTCGACACCTCCCGTACCATCGTGTTCCTTGTGCCGTTCCGAGTCCACCGGTGTTCTCCTTTTCTTCGGCGACGGCGGCGCGTGTGGAGGTGAAGTGGTCAAAGTTTCCAATTTGTTGAAATCGAGCTCTCCGCGTTCAAAAATTTGAACCGAGCTTTGTAAGTATCTCGAAATCGCTCAAAATAATTTTTAAGAAATTTTCCGTGAATTTTACGCTGCCAGAAGAGCCCTCACTCGCCCCCACGCACCGCCACTACGCGTGGGGAAGGCAAAAATGAATGGTTTGACCGATTTTTCAAAGGGTTTGACTAGTTTTGACCCTACCAGTTGACTCGACCCGTTGACCCGACCCGACCGTTGACCGTTGGGAATTAATTCAAAATGGGTGTTATTTTGGGAATTAATTCGAAAAGGGTGCTATTTTGGTAATTATTTTAAAAAGGGTGCTATTTCTGTAAAATGGTTGATAGTTTGTTGACCTCCTTCGATCAGAACTTTGACCGGCTATTAAAAGACCGTTAATCTTTTCTGAGTATACCTATCCTAATAATTTTTAAAGTATCGAATCTGTTTTTAGGGTCCGTTTCGCTAAATTCGAACCCGAAAGTCTCCAAATCGCCAGTCAAACCCGTTGACTTTGATTTTGACCAAGAATTCAGAATTTCGGAATGTCATACTTTATGTTTTTCGACGTCCTGAATCTGATTCTGAAGTCCGTTTTGTCAAATTTTGACCCAAAATTCCTGAATCAAGCATGTGAACCCAAAAAGATTTAGTATTTTAGTATTTTGATTATTTATTTGATTTTTTGTTAAGGAGTTGATTCAATAAAATATTTTATTACTCGTGTTTCACCTGAGCTTGGATCAGTTAAGTCTGGAGTTGTTTGTTCGTCAGATCAGCCTGAATCGCGTACTGCAAGAATTACCCGTAGGTTTACGTATATTATTTAAATAAAGATTATTTATATTAGGATTCCAATATGGATTTTTCCAATTCGTAGGATCTAGCGCTGTAGCAGAGCTTGATCGACAAACCCAGTAATAGGCTTTCCTATCTGATTTCTCAGACTGTTTCAGGTGTGTTTACTGACGGTGTTATCTTACTGTTTTAAACTATCCCATAAATAGTTTATTTGATTTTTGACGTGGATTTTAATATGGTACTCGACCTGGATTTTTTTATATAATACTTAACATGGAATCTGATCTGCTACTTGACTTGAATTATGTTTTAATGTTTGATATAAATATTCGTTATGAACAAAAAATGTTTTATTGGGGGGTAATGTTGGAGGAAGTATACCTGAAGGCTCCTCGGCTGTGTGCTCAGAGCCTTACTTACCGGCTCCTCGGCTGTGTGCTCAGGGCCTTACTGGACGTGAAAAAGTGTATGGTTCTGGGGAACCTACACATTTGGTACGTGACGGATGGGGGTAGTGTTTATATTTTAAAATAAAACAAATATGTTTGATAAACTGATTTTACTAGAATATTTTATTCGTATGTTTTTAATACACTGTTTGGAGCACACTGGGCTTTTTAGTTCATTCTATAGTTTTTACCCCTTTTCAGATAACAATAGACCATAAGCTAGCAGATTTGACATCAAAAGAGATCAAATATTTATTTTTTACGAACATATATCTCTACATGTTTTTCCTTTGTATCTGGTGACATGTATTTGCTATCGTTTTGGGTATATATGTATTATTAATATTTTGTTCTGTATTATATCTAATGTATTATAAGTTGTTAAAAAAAACTCTGAATGGGATATGTGACCACCTAGGTTTGGGTCTAACTTACAGACCGGGTAAGAGGGTTACAGTGTTTATAAATAAAAATACATTAGGTCTACCAGAAATAAATGAGGGTCTCATCATTGCTAATACTCAAAACCAACTTTAATACTAAATATCACCATCCACACCAACTTATAAAATAATATTCCTTAAGATTTATCAACAAAAGAACTCCTTACATGTTGAAGATGATACAAGTCAGTTAAACAATGGCTTTAAACTTTCACTTAACTGTCGACTTCAAAAATGGATTACTAGGTCGTTCTCCTACATCCTTCTTTGATTCCTCATTTGAGGACTTCGACACCGGATTTGATGGATCCTTCTTTCCGTCCCGAATATCTGGCAACTTCGGAAACAGGTTTAAAGGGCATTGACTATCTGAGTTCTTCACTTCCTTCACACCATTCACATGGCTAGATCCATCATTCTTCTCTGCATCCTTTACCTCCTCGCTGTCCTCTAGATTTGCAGTTTGATCAATGCCTGTCTTTTGCTTTCCGAATTTAACTCGTTCCAAAGGTTTTACTTTCTTTGTAAACACAGGGGCCGAGAGTTTAGCTGAAGATGATGGAGCAAATGGTTCCAATCTTTCAGTTGCAGTATAGGGCTTGTTGACTGCAAGATCATGTTTTGAACTTGAAAGACCAGTGTTTGAATCCTTTATTTTATTTCTCAATCTTTCCTGTTTATAAAAAGGGTATTAACAAAAATATCAAAATCCAAATGTAGCAGTTTTAGAAGTTGGATTTGTTTAGATGTTGCTGGCTAACCTCCAGTATTTCATTGAATCGTTCAACCAAAATAGGAAGCTTCATTGCAGTGGCAAGTTGTATTGCACCTCTAACTGATTTTTCGACAGATAAAAGCTTCACAAGTTCGATGGCTCTCACAAGTTTGTCACCTGCAAGAGCAGCCAGAAACGGGGTTAATGGAGTTAAGATCAGCCACGGATAACGCCATGAAAGATTTAAACATAATTCCAAAGACTCACTGTTGCAGCAGGATGCAATTATCCGGAAGATGCATCGATCTTGTGCTGCCTCTATGTCGAAAGCCTCATCGTCAAGAGAAGTAGTGTCCAAGCCTTCACCAGCTGTAGCTTCTATTTGTTTCTGAATCTGCAGGTTTATAGTTAACACAAGAAAAATCTTAAGCAACTCAAAAACTGCATCAAAAGCCAAAATGCAGAAATAAATAAAGGGATGGCACCTTTGAGAGATGCAGATTGTTCAGCATAAACTCATTTTCAAGGGCTTCTTCTCCAAGATCAGAGGATGCAAGAGGAAATGACAGGTTTATCAGAGTAAGAACAGGTTTAGGGAGCACCTGAAAAAAGAGAGAACGACCATAAATCCCTGATTTAAAGCTCAAAACATAAGGGAGTTGAGATGATCGTTATAATTCCTGTGGGAATGTATCTGGATTCTTACAAACAACACAAAACAACTTGCTCGCATTCAACCCGATCACCCAATAATTCTCACCAGATCTCCTTTCTTTGTTGGCACTGCAAAGAACAACGCACATTGATTGCATAAATACGGCAAAGTTTTGAAGTAATATGCAATATTAATCAAAAGATTACTTCTGTATCCTTGAAAGAAGAATATCAAACCTAAAAAGAGGAAGCCAGTTGCCACCATATTGGCTTGTGAAACCCTTAGAACACCCTGCATTTTTTTTAAGATTCAATTTAAAAAATAAATGTAGTTATTATGATAACCTGAAAAAAGAGTTCTTGAATACCTTTGAATCATAAGAGCTTATCTGGCCTTCTTCACTAAACCCAAACCACGTTAAATATGAACCAGGAGTTAATGGAAGACGACCTCTGAAGATTTGGGTTCCTTTAGATATGTTGAATAACGTAAACTCTAGCATCTGCATATGTAGATAAAAAGGAATCATATAATTTAAGGTCAGGCTCAAAGGCTGAGATTCACCAACTATTGCTGCTCGCCAAGGCCCCTGTAGCAACTTAGATATTACACATGAGATATGCCCTCCAAATACATGGAATAACTTACGGAAAAAACTAAACATACATGTTTCAAATGCATACCTATACTCAAATCCAAGTCCGAGTAATACCGGATACTATCATGTTGATGTTAGGTGAATCATTTGAGGCATGCACCAAGTAAGAAGTCATAGTAATAGTAACATACCTGCTCATTAGATGGAAGACAATCAGAAACATGGGTGACAATTGCTAGCTCATCATTGAAGCCTGCTGCGGTCACCACTGGTCCATTAAGTGAAAGAATATGTTTCTGCAATAAATGTCATAAGAGAAACAAATGAGCACAATAATAAATCTAAATTCCTTTGTAATTAAGATGATTACAAACATAAGCAACATATATAGGTTGCCACCAACACTCCCATTCTGTCATAATTACTTATTCATCTACTAGCTGGTTCTACCAATTGCAAACCAACACATTTTTTCCCTCAAGCGTTGTCATTCATTCTTATGGTTTGATATTAACGTGAAACACTTACATCCTAAATTACTGACTCAAGCATGATGATCAGACATGTATCTGTCTAAGACATCTGTGTTCATGTTTTACCAAGATTTTCATGTATTTGGAGAGTCCTTTGAAGATCATATCAGACAGATCCTTCATATCTGTTAAAACTTAAATCATAGACGTGACATTACTTGATTCCAGCTATCTCCGATATGAATATAAGTATATATAAGTGATGTATGTACACAAGTATATATATATATGTATGTATACATAAGTATATATATATAAATACATATATAAGTATATATATATATATATATATATATATATATATATATATATATATATATATATATATATATATATATATATATATATATATATATATATATATATATATATATATATATATATATATGTGTGTGTATATATATAAGCATATAATTAAACATGAGTGACTAAAAATAAAAGATTCTAAAATTAATATTCACATTTAATAATTATGCACTTTAAAGAAAGAAGTGAAATTTAAAAGTAATTAGAATGTATACAGGATTAAATTGCATCGAATTGAAAATTCAAGAAGATATTTACAATTAAACCATGACTAATATAAAAGAAATCAAAAACCAAATTACAAAATAGAAAAAATGATTGTTGGAGGAGCGCATGCATAATTAACCAAAGTATCTTATTGGACAACAATCCCCTTGACGCCGACTTCCCAAATAAAATAAAAATTTCCCAAATTTTCTCAATTTCCCAAATAAAATCAAAATTTTCCACATACAAAAATATCTTTTAAAAAAGTTTTCTCACCACTCACTTGAATATATATATATATATATTCAATCTCAAATAAATTCATCTTATGTAATTATTTTAAAATTTTATGTTAAATTATATTTAAATTATTAATTAATTATTATATAAAAAATAAATTAAACTTAAAATATTTAATTTAATTTTATATAATCTAATAATTATAATTAAGATTTATAATAAAAGGATTATAATTAATATAAAAATAAATTTATTAATTTAATTATCATAACTAGCAATTTGTTTTAATTTTTATAGAGTAAGCATATATATTATCATAGTTTATTATAAATTCAAAATCTCATAATTTCATCAATTGTAACTTATAAGTCAAATAAATATCAACTAAGGTAAATATCAGATCATGTCAATAACAAGTTGGATCATTTACATGTTGAGTCATTTATAGGTAAGTTTCATAGCAGGTCATGTTGATAACAGGTCGGGTAATAACAGTTATTTACCAGGTTAATATTGGGTTCGAGTTCTTATTAGTTGGATGCATGTCGTGTTCGGTTATCATATTTTCGGTTCAATTTGAGTTTAGATTGTTCTCAAATCGGGTCAGGTTAAGTTCAGATCCACAATTTCCATGTCCAACTCGGGTTTATGTCAACACCAGTTCGGACTCGAATAGGTTTTGGATCACCACCACTTAGACCACAAACAATTTTGACTCGAATTGATTTTAGTGAATTTTGTAGATCGAATGAGTTGTTTACATCCCTAATTTCAAACAATACTTTTAATCGAATATTCTTTTGAAAAAAATAGAAGATTACAGCCAAACTGAACATTATACTCTGCGGACATTTTAAAATATAATATTAATTAAAATATTTTAGTACTTCTTTTAATGCATTTATATATCAAAATAGCATACTAATAAAAAAATTATAAATACATAAAAAATTAAAGAAACAAAATACAACAACAATAATTTATAATTGTGTCTAAGCTTTTAATATTTGGTAATGTAAATTCATGAATCCACATAATAAATACATATATTTGAAATAAAAATTAAATTAATTTTTTTTAAAAATTACCTGAGATATAAATTAAAAATTGAGTAATCTAAATATAGAGGCAGTGATAATAAATGACTTTATAGATATGTATCCCTAATCATATGTATTGATATGTACCATTAATTATTTTAATAACTTTTGAAATCCGAATACGTGAAACAACTCATTTCCTCACAGAGGTGGAAACCTCTAGAGCATCATGTACATAGTGGATTAGGAAGAAAATGAAAATCATAAGTTGGATGAGGAGAGTTTATAATTACATGACTCCATAAGTAGGCAATTGAAGAGAAAGGGGTGAAGACGGGATGAGTTGAAAAACCTACTTGGGTGAGGATATCGGCAGTTCCGTAAGGTATGTAGGACGGTCTTCTCCACCAAACCACATAATTGATATAGACCATTATCAACTCCATCAAGGAATAGCTGTCAAGTCACAGGCAATGACGAATACAAAAATTTATGTTAAAAGTACAGATTTAAGAAGTTATATTAAAAATTTTAAGGTTGTAGAGTTATAAAATTTTAAGAATACGAAATTAAACAATCAATGAAAAATATTAAAAATTTTAAAATTTAAAGATTCTAAAATTACGACCGCACCTTCAGAGCCCCTTCAATTCGTCCCTGGCCACAGGTAAAGCTTCGTTGGAAAGTCGCCAACCAAATATATGTACTTAAGGAAGAGTGGCAAACGGAGAGAGGAATAACCACAATAAGAGTTCGGTTAAGACACATAAGCTACTAGTAACCTGACCGAACCGAATATGCCTAGAAGAATGACCACTCCAAATCAACTCATCACCGGCAATTAGCGAAATAAGACAATGTTGAATCGTGTTTATATATTTTTTTAATATACGTATAAATTATATAATTGCGTAATAACTATTAATTAAAAATAAAATAAATAAAGTAATTACGATTCTACAAATTTTAAGAAAATATTAATTAAAATTTTATATTACTATGTTTTTATAATTTATAAAATATTAAAATGAATTAATATAAAAAAATCAAAGCAGGTTTTAGAAACAGTGATGAGACTTCAATCCAATTCTAATTAGGGATGTGAAATCGAGTAATCGTTTAGGTTTCAGTCGGATCATGTAAATCAGATCAAGTTAAATATAGGTTGTGTCAGGTCAATTTGTTGGCTCAACTCGAATTAGGTCGAGTCTGGGTCAAATTCGTTCAGGTCATTTTCATGTTGATTTTACAACAGTTCAGTTCGGGTTCAAATTGGGTTAATTTAAGTCCGAATCGATGTCAGTTCAAGTCAAAACGGCTCAGGTCCGAATCAGTTAAATACTAGGTTAATTCAGTTTCGGATGTGCTTCAGTCAAATCTCGTTTAGATCGAGTCGCATCATTGACAATCAAAATTCAGGTCGGATCTTATCAGGAATAGATAGAGTTCATATCGAGTTATTTTTTGGTTAATTATTTTTCATCTTTCATGAACGACGAATTATAATTTGTAATTGTATATGATTTGGAGTAAATTAAAAAAAATGAATAATTATGGGTCAATATTGATAAAAATATAATTTTAAGGACTAATTAAAAAACATGAAATTACAAATGAAAATTTAAATAAATTAAACAACACACATGGATGAGGGATTAAATCAAAATAATTATAAAATATTAAGTTGAAATTAACATAAAAATGGACTAAAGTGAATTCATTTAAAAAGTGTGTGAACAAAAGTTTATTGGGTTTGATATTATAATATAATTTTATGGACTATTTTGATTAAACATAAAATTACAAATTAAATAAATTAAACAGCATGCAAGAATCAATTAAAACAACCATATATATATTGATAGATATTAATATTATATATATATAAGTATATATATGTATGTATATACATATGTATAATGTATGTGTATATATGTAATACAATAAGTATATACGTAATTATATATGATCAATGATATATGTTTTATATGTATATATGTACAATATATACATATATATAATATATACATATATATATATATATATATATATATATATATATATATATATATATATATATATATGCATTTATGTACATATGTATGATGTCGTATGGTGCATGTATATATATATATATATATATATGTCATACTTTATATTTTAAAAAAATAAAAAGTAAAATAATATATATATATATATATTAATATTATGTATACATAAGTATATATATATATATACACATATACTTATATATATATATATACACATATACTTATATATATATATATATATACATACATAAGTATATA